TATTTCTTATTTATAAACTCATACAAATTAATCTTCATTTTCATCCTTTTTAGACCATTTTAAAAAAATAATATTTTTGTATAATTTTTATAATTGATCAATTTATATGAATTCATAAATGAGGGGTAAATTAATACTTGTGAATAATTAAGGAGTCTTGATTTAAATATTATAGGAAAATTTATATGTCAGTGAGATTTTAAAAAATTATTTATAAATTGATAAAAAAATTATAACTTTACTTTTTAATATTTATAAATTTTTTTTACTAATTTAAAAATATTTTTTCAAATACTTACTTATGTTAACATACTATTTTAGTTAAAAAAATTACTATGAAACCTAATGAGGAACAAATTTTCAAGTCTCAAAACCATTAATAGGGGTGTGTGCCGTATAGTATAGCAGTAAATTGCTTGAGAGTGAAATTATAAATTAAATGGCGGATTAGTAGATTGGTAAATTGCTGTTTGAACAGTTTTGGATGGATTAAAGAATATTATAATCAATTCTCAAGTCTTTACATAAAATATAACATTAATTTGTATAATATTTTTTTATATATAATACAAATTAATTTTACATAATATTTTTCATATATAACTATTAATTTATAATAAATTTCACATATTAAATATATTTTACACTAATTTTTATTTTGATATTTCATTATAGGTTAAAAATATGTACTATATGTATTAACTATAGCGAAATTGAGCGGTTTCAAAGACAAATTATAAAATTTTAAAGTTTAAATCACAGTTAATGGATATAGCGATACAGATTAATGCAAATTAGTGTAGTTTTAATCAATTGAGTAGTATTTTACACAACCCTAACCACTAGCACATATTTTTATAAAAAGTCAAAAACATTGTTAAATTAAAAAAAATATTTGAAAACATCCAAAATTTTTAAAATTTTTACCTATAATAATATATCAAGATAAATTAGTTTATCACACGCAATATGTTTCATTCCCTTCCTACATGATGATTGTGGATAAATTTGTAGTTACTCCTAAATTGATCAGTTCCAAACAAATCCGAAACATCTGTTATGCCGGTTCAAATTTACCCGTTTTCTCTTCGATACGAAAAACCATCTGGGCCCATTTCCAGTTGCTGCTTTAGCAAGCAAAAGCGATTCTGATTTCTTCTATCTCTGCGATTCTCTGAGAGAGAGAGAGAGAGAGAGAGAGAGAGATGGCTTGCTTGCACGACCATAGTTGCGAAGATCACGATTGTTCGGCTGATTTTTCTCTCTACAAGCACGTAGACCTCTCCAAGGTTAAAATTTCTATGCATTTATTCCGTTTACACCGCTTTTGTTATTTTATTTATTTATTTTTATTATTGTGAAGTATAACTGCTATTTAGTGACAGCTTTCGATTTGATTTGTCAATTTTGGGCAAAACCCTAAGTTTGATTTTTCATATGAGGCTCCAAAACGTAAAATCTACGTGTGTACACGTGTTTCAACAATGACCCATTGATTCAAATTGTTTTGATCTTGCTTTCTCTGTTGTGCCCTGTAAATTCTATTGTTCAATTGTGTTCTGTTGTTCCAGATTATATCATTTGACAATGACCCATTAACTCAAATTGCAAACTTTGAATTCCTGATGCTCAGTTAGTGCTTGTTTTGTGTTTAGTGATTGTTTGGGAAGTGGGGTTTTTAGTGGTTTTTTTTGGCTAAAATATAAAAGGGGTACCCAGTGCACAAAGCTGGTCTGGGGAAGGGTTGGGGAAGGGTTGATGTACGCAGCCTTACCTCCGCAAGCGGAGAGGCTGTCTCTGTGTTTTTTGGGCTAAAATATGAGCAGAAAAAAATGGAAGTGTTTGATAATGATTTTTTTTATGGGAAGACGTGCAAAAGTAAAGAGAATAGGGAGAAATCTTTGATTTTTTTTTAAAAAAAAATAAAAATAAAATTGGCTTTTTAATATTTTGGCTAATTTAGCCGCTTCCCAAATGTAACCGTAGTACCTGGATTGACTGTTGAAAGGAACAAGGAGCTGCAAGCCTTACGTGCCAATTTTCACATCCTATAGTGCTTGGGAATTAATGTTTCACTCACACTCACATATATATAAACATAGGCCTCAAATAAAGCAATATGAAATGTCTCTTTCTCTTTGTGTGTGCACGTGCGAGGGGTGCAACTTATGCCTATGCTTACATTTTTTAACATTTCATTTATTATCTCATAATTTTTATATGTTCTAGAGTTCTTACTCATTGATTAACTCAATAGCACTTTTAAGTTAGCTACTCTTTGAGGATATGTCAAACATAATTCCTGTTTTGATGTGCCACAGGTTTCTGCTTTGAATGAGGCTGTTCCAGGAAGTGTCAAGTCAGTTTTTAAAGCTTGGGAACAACGGTTAAATATTTCAGAGGTAGGTTTTGTGTGAGGATCAAAATCTGTTATTTCCTTTTCTTTTAATTGGGCTGATAAATGATCTATATAATAGCCCTTGGACCTTTATTTTTATTCTGTTTTTCATTATGTATTTGAATATACTGAATCATGTTCTATTAATATTCTGTTGCAGTTTTGAGGATATTGATTTGGACACTAACTTTTCTTCTATTTTTCACATGGTTTGTCGAAACGTACAAGCAGTTAGTTTTTCTTAGTGATTTATGTCTTGGCCACACTGGCATTATTTGCAGTCTCAAAATAAATGTAAAATCTTATTTAATTTGTAGTTGTATGCTCTTGTTTGAACAAAACCGACATCTGGTAACTAGTGTTGGCAAAAGTGTGCTTTAAAGCACAAAGCACAACAATAAAAAGCGCTTTTAGAAGTTCGCACAATTACAAAAGGACGCTTAAAGTTAAAGAATGCTTTTTAATAACCTTGTAGTGCATTTTTTTGACATTGTGGCCTCCCAAAGATTGTGTTGCTGTGCGAAGAAACATGGGGTGTTGGATGCCGCACAAATTGTGAGTGAGGTCAAAATTACCATAACATGACCTCATGTTTCCATCATAGATAACCTCCTTTATTTACATGAATATATGAAGCATCGTTATAATCTTTCATTGCTTAAACTTCATGCACTCGTATCAGTACTTTGGGAGAGATGCATTTTTCCTTAATTGTTTGGTCTTTTGTATACTTTAATGGTTTTCAGCGGATTATTTACTTGTGCAGAAAGTTTAAAAAAAAAAAAAAAAAAAAAAAAAAAAAAAAAAAAAATTATATATATTGTCTACTTTTTTAACTACCTTAACCTTCTTCCTCTTGTAAAATTGTCTGCTTGATCTAAACTATGATGTACTTTGTAACTACCTAAATGTTTCTTTTACTCATTAACTGATTAACGTGCATCATAGTTACTTTTCCTTTGTGGATTTTCAACATTATCAGCTTATTTATTTATGAATATAAACAAACTGCTCTATCCATATATAGCATAGTAGACATCAATTTATCTTAAGGTACTGGCACTTTTCACTCGATACTTTCTGCCATTCTTGTTTTTATGTATTTTTTTATTTATTTCAAAATTTAGAGTATTCTTCTATGTCCTTTGGTGTGTGCATGTATCTATAGATATATGTGTGTGTTTTTGGTTTGCATGTATTTGGTCTGAGGGATAGTCTAGGAAGCACGGATATGGATATGGGTACGATATGATACGGATACGGCGATACGGCAAAATTTGAAAAATAAGGATACAAGTACAGCGGGGATATGTTCGTAAAAAATATTATTTTTATAATTTTAGTAATGTAGTATGCATACAAATAAAACCTAAAGCAAAAGACAACTTAATAAAAAAGAAAGATTCCTATAAAGCCAAGAGTCTTCAAGGTCAATAGTTTCAACTTGTTCCCCTTCATCAGTGAATATCACAGCTTCCAAATCTGGTTCATCAAGAGAAATAATTGCAATTTCAAGTAAGCCTGGACCCTCCAATGAATCAAAAACATCTCCACCAACATCCCATAACTTGGTTTCTTCTTCAATGTACTGTCGACTTCTCCTTGATAGGAGATGAAGATTGTTATGTACAAAAACCAAATCTTTAGCATGTTGTAGTGTCATTTTGTTTCTTTTCATGGAGTGAATAAAGGAGTAGGTGCTCCAATTCCTTTCACAGCATGATGAGGAACATGGCTGGTCAAGCAATTTTAATGCTAAAGATTGAAGCATAGAAGCTGGAGATCCATGTGTAAACCACCAAATAAGTGGATCCAATACTCCTCTATCAATCTTTGAGTCAAAATCTCCAAACATATCCAAGCTTCCTAAAAACTTGGCATATTCCACATTTACAACCCTTCTCTCCTCTAAATTTGGAAAGTATTTCTTGAAGCTCTTGTTTCTCATACTTGAAATTTCTTCATCCCTATGAGGAGGGGCACGATTGGGATTTTCATTAAGTCACGTTGAACTATAATACCTAGATTACAACATTAGAAAGTTTCAAAATTAAATTATGTTATTCATATTAAAAGACAAATGTGAACAAAGAAATCTAATTAGTAAGAGTATGGATTAAGTTATTACTTCGGATTCAAAGAATGTGCAAGGCAATGAAGAGGAGTGTTACTTTTGGCCCGCCTCTCAACTAGTATATTGTGCACAACGGAATAAAATATTGATTCCTCATGATCTAGCTTCCCTTCATGCCTAAAGATGCTTGCCTTCACCTTTTCAATTTTGGTGTCCCACATTTTATAGACTAAGTGAAGGCATGGTTTACTCCATACCAAGATTGGCTTCTCGCCAATCTTGGGTTAAGTGCTTGCATATGATTGTGCTTCCTTTATGGTGCCAACCTAATTGGGATTGTGAAGGTTAGCTATGATGCTTGTGCACTTCCTTGATTTGTTGATTTATCTTTGCTTGTAATTTGTTTTTTTCATCAATAAATCTTTTTCCTTTGCTGATCAAAAAAAAAAAAAGTGAAGGCATGGTTTGTTAGTGTCACAAAATCTAAGCATCTCATAGATAGGCAATGTAAAAGACAAAATGTAATCAATCTTATCCCACCACACATCATTCAATAATTTTTCCTTCAAAGATGCTGCTTTCCCAACATCGTCTTCTTTGTAAGAAACCCACTGTTCACTAATAACCATTGATTAGAGGCCATGCTTTATAAGCTTAAACCTTTTGAGCATGACAATAGTAGATGCAAAACGTGTGTTCGCAACAACAAGTAACTTCAAGGGTACGAATTCATTGAAAATAGCTAGCTGCATGGGATGGTTCATGATGAAGTTTTTGATAAACATCACATCATCAACACAAAGTGTGATCTAGTGACATTCATCATAAGCAAAAACAATACCCCCTGTTTCCTTTGGAGCACAAATATTCTTAAGAGCAAGATTCAGTGTGTGAACTACACATGCTGTCCAAAAGATATTCGGCTACGTACTTTCAATGAGTAAACCGGCTGCACTACACACGGGAGCATTATTTGTAATGACTTGAATGACATTCTGATGTCCAACTTCTTCAATTGCTTGACTAATTAAGTTGGAAATAAAAAATTTGTCTTTGTGCTTGCCTTCACAATTAACAGCTTTCAAGAACATTGCCCTAGCTTCTGATGCTCCCATAAAATTAATAAGGGGCCTTCTTTGAGAATCAGTCCATCTATCTAAAACAATACTCAATCCCTTTTCCTTCCATGATGCTCTAGTTAGCTCCTACAACCTCTCTACATTAGCCATTTCCTTTTGAGGCAATGTAGTCCTTAACAAGTTATAACCAAGTGGTACATAACCAGGAATTGGATTGTTGGCAGCAAATTGAAAAGCACTAACATAATATGGGTTCCTTGATAATGAAAAGATAACCCCGCTGAATAAAACATGCGAGCAATCTCATAATGCAATTATTCCTACATAACAGGGTTGAATGCCTTTTCTAGAGTAGAAGTTTCAGTAGCCTTTCTTTTTCTTGGCTCATACCCCTCCATCCTAAATCTTCCAGTATTTGAAGGCCCTGAACCTATTGAAGTAGATTGGCAAGTGGAAGGTGGTAAAGGAACTTTTTTAGACAGCCATCTTTAACCTCTTCTCGGCTTCTTCAATTTTCCTATGCATTTCAGCAAGATGTTGAGGAGTCACTTTGGGGCACACTCTAATCCCATGGCCAGAAAGTTTTAACAAATGTGCCTTGACCCTAAAGTATGACCCCTTGTACTCATTTTGACAGTAATTGCATTTAAACTTGATATTGCCACCTCCATCTCCTATTTTTTTCATTTTTGTAACATAACACCAAAGAGGAGCATGATCATCTTCTTCCATTGGTGTACCACTTGTTGAACCTAAACTTCTTGTACTCGAACTCATTTTCTAAAATTTATAAATTTGGTAAAGAAATAAAACAAAACAAAACATTAATGTAGTTATCTTTTGGCATGAACATCAAAAAAAAAAAAATTCAGCAATTCAATAAAATTTCAGCAATTCCACCATTATGGCATCACTTATAACAACCATAATGCAATTCAAATTAAGGGGGGAAAAATTTACCCTTTCAATGATCAAAAAAAAAAAAAAACCTCACAAGGCTCGTTGATGTTGTTGTCTTTTGAGAAAATAAAAAGTGGGTACTAGTAGCTTAGCTTAAGCTTAGTTGCAAAAAAAAGAAAAAAAAAATTAAGAAATTCAAAGGGGTTAGTTTAGTACAGTGAAAGGGAGAGAGTGTGAGATTGAGCGAGAGGGAGAGAGTGAGATCGAGCGAGAGAGAGGGACTGAGATTGAGTGACATAGACAGAAAAGTGAGAGAATGAGAGTGAGCGAGCGAGCAAGAGAGAGAACGAGAGCGAGAGCGAGAGAGGACGAACCTTGATCAAAGACTCCTCCTCCTCCTTGCTGCTGTTCGCGAATTGCGATAGAAACGATAAAGATGACAATGACTCTTGCTGCTGTTCGAGTTGTTGCTGCTTCGAGGTTGAGCTAAGCTAGGGTTTTTTTTTGGTTTTATTTTAGATAACTTTTGTTATTTTACATTATAAGTTTGTAAAATTATTTTTTCACCCTGCCGTATCCCGAAAGTATCCCTGAAGTATCCTCGTGTATCTTAAACATATCCAAAATTCAAAAAATTTTAAAAAAAATCGGGATACTTCTTTGCCATATCCTCTGTTATTAGAATCTTACGATTCGCGATTCGATTCGCAATTTTTTCAATATCGATACGAATCTATGGGTGAATCTGTTTTGGAAGTGAATCTCTAGTGAATCGCATGATTTATAATCGATTCACGATTCGATTCACTTTTTACGATCCATGCAATTTTTGAAATCATTGTGCCCGACATATTTTTGACTCTTTTTTTGTCCATCTTTTTTAGTGAAAATGACGTAATACAACTTCTAGTAACGTTTAATACCAAAATAACTAACGTATATACATGATTTGTTGTTATTTTAGTGATCATGGAGTTTTTAATAGGATCTAATCAGATTCAATCAGACCCAACATATTTTTAACTTTCTTTTTTTTTTTCCCTTTAAAAAATCATAATATATCTTCTAAAGATGTTTAAGATTAAAGTTACACTATGAATTATTTATTGCTACTTTATTAAATTGAATATTACATGTGTAAGATCAGTTATACCTTTTAAAATGTTTTAGGCTTTAAAATACAAGATTCTAAATAATTTTTTCTTATTATTTGTTCACTGTTACTTAGAAAAGTATGTATACTTATTGTCCAAATATCAATATTGTTGTTAATTATTGTTACTTTAGAAATTGATAGTTTGTCTATTTGGTTATTATCTTTATTAAGAATGATTGATAAGAAATATCTAAAAAAGAAAGAAAGGTAAGATGGTGATCTTACATAGGAACTTTTCTTAACTTCTTACCTATTAAACTACGTGATTATCATTCAAAATAACATTTTCATAGATTTAAGTATTTTATATTCACAAGATATATTTAATATCTAAATGTGTAGATATATGTTTTTAAGTAATTTAGAAAAAGTGACCGAATCTTTACGATTCACGATTCAATTCAATTTGCAATTCGGTATGAGGTCATTTCAATTCACGATACAAATCCCCGATTTGACAACTATGGCTGTATCTGATATGTATCCCGTTGTATCGGACGCCTATCTGTATCTGATACGTATCCGACACGTACGGGGGACATTTCAGAGTACCCGTGCTTCATAGGGGATAGTGTATTACATGATGAGGGCCAGCCTTCCTTAATTGTAAACTCTTGATGGTAGTCTATTGCAACTCGCTTAATTGGTCTTCTTTCCTGTAACAGGGTCACTTGGAGAGCAATGAGGGTGATCCTGAGTTACTGGTTTTCATCCCGTAAGTAGCAACTGCTGTTTCTGCACTAGTTTTTTCCCCCTTTACATGAGAAGTCATGCTGACTCGAACTTTATTAGGCTAGTTTATTTGGGACTTGCATAGCTTTTTACTATTTTCTGCTCCTTTTTTATTTTGGACCTTCACTGTGCTGGTATATTTGTACTTGTTCACAAGATTTCATACATCCTCAAATCTGTCTTATATTATTGCTTTTGTGTTCATCCATCTTGGAATCATGATTATCATTCCTGAATAAGTTCTCTGACCTTCTAAGGTATTTCTGCTGTTCTTGGTTGCTTATGGAGTGACTTCATTGTTATTTATTACCTCAGCAAAGTAGTTTTATTTTTGGATCAAATGACAATTGAGGCATTTTACCACTGTATGTGTGAGGCACAATAATGATTGCTTTATTTTTTGTCATGGCCTCACTTTTGTAAAATGTTTCTTTTTTTTTGGATAAATATTTCTATCTACAGGTTCACAAACTAGATGTAAATAAAACCTGTAGTTATAACAGAAATGTTTTGAAGGAGGGTTAAAAAGGTGTGGGTGTTGGCTTTTTTTGTCTCTTGAGAGGGAAATCAGAGCACTTTTGAGGATGCCGAGTTGGGGGATTCATAGACTTAAATCGGCTTTTTTTTTGTTTTCATTATTGGTTGGAAGGGAAGCTTTGTGACACCTTTTTTTTTTCTTTTTGTATGCACTTGTGTATACAGGCTGCACTTTTTTTTGTTTCCTTATAATGAAATGACTTATTTACTTTTTCATATATTTATATACACACTAACCTTCCCACAGTTCAACATTGCATGCTTAACTGAATCCTCAAAACCGATTGAATTGAAAGCCTTTGTTTGTTGTTGCTTGACATGTGAAATACAGAAATTGATAGTCACGATGTAGTTTTGCATGAATTCAGCTAGCATCTTATGCTTGATGAATATTGTCTTTGCTTGAAACTGTTTAGCCTAACAGTTGTCTTGTCTTCCTGAATCATTGATGACATCGTTTTTTCTTTGTGGTAATTTATTTACACCAGATTTTAACTGAATCCTCAAAACCGATTGAATTGAAAGCCTCTGTTTCTTGTTGCTTGACATGTGAAATACAGAAATTGATAGTCACGATGTAGTTTTGCATGAATGCAGCTAGCATCTTATGCTTGATGAATATTGTCTTTGCTTGAAACTGTTTAGCCTAACAATTGTCTTGTTTTCCTGAATCATTGATGACATCGTTTTTTCTGTCATGTGGTAATAGATTTACATCAGATGTTAAAATCAAGAGCATTTCAGTTGTTGGTGGCGCTGATGGAACAAGTCCTTCCAAAATGAGGGCGTAAGTTTATCTTTATTAGTCCTCCTACTGTGAGGTCAATATGTTGCAACTTGCATGCTATAAATATTAATCAACCTGACTTTCTTTTTGCTGAAGAAAAGGATCTTGTGACCCTAGACTCCTACAGTACTAAAAGTTTTATTTTTGAGAGGAGACCAGCTCCTTTTCTTTTCTTTTTTTAACTTCAAGCTTTTAATTATTCTATTTATCTGTAGTTAGGGCATTTTTTTAACACCTTTAGTATCAGGAAAACCAACTCTCTTTGTGACAACAATGGCTAGGCCCTCCCTTATGCTATTTTTAATTATTTGGCTGGATTTTGAAAAAAGAACCCTATCTTTTGTAGGATAGGCTTTTTCGGTGGGATGTATGCTGTCATTAACATTTCATGTATGGCTTGAAGTAAAAAATTTCCTTACAAATGCAGGTTCATCAATCGGGAAGGTATTGACTTTTCTGATGCTCAAAATATGCAATCCATTCAGGTACGGATTCATCTAAGCTTGCTGGAGATTTTAAGCTTAGCACTATCAACTTCTGCCTGAAAATTTGTTCATCGTTTTCAGGAGTGGGATTTGGTGGAGAATTTGCAAGGGGTTTTAGAGTACCAGACAAAGTAATTGTTCCTGCCACTGTTTTAGTTGTATACCCCTTGATGAATTCATAATAGTACTTCATTTTGATTTATCCATGTGATAAGTTTTTATCGCTGTCTGTCTCTCATACATTTCCCTGAAAATTCAATCTTTTCATTTTTAGTGGTTTTTATTGGTTAATTATTAACTCAATGCATTTTTGAAAGTTAGGGAACATTTCTTTGGTACATGATTTTTGCTGCATTATCTGATTATTTTTGACGGTATATCTGTTCACAGAGAGAATAAATTGTATGTATTCAATTGATTTTAAGTGTGTCTTTACAATGTGAAGATGACTCTCCTTTTATAGAGGGGAGAGTGTGCAAAGGTGCCAAGAGAGCCGAAAGAAGAAAGTAGAAAGTGTGCTCTAAGGAAGCACTAAGAAAACAACATGATTAAAGCTTGGTAATTTACAGCTAACATATTATGCACTAACATACATATAGTATACTAACAGCCCCCCTCAAACTCAAGGAGGATAGGTACCAGCCAACTTGAGTTTGGAGAGAGTAACAAAACAGGAAAATAAAATAAAATAAAGTAGGATAGGAGACACTGTATGGTCGTGTCGAACCGTTGGTGAAGACACTGTATGGTCGTGTCAGACCGTTGTAGGAGCTAATCGGAATCAATGTCGGGACAGTTTACGGGGTCATGCCAGACCGATGTAAAAGTTAACCGGAATCAATGTCGGGACAGTTTATGGGGTCACGCCGGACCGATGTAGAAGCTAACCGGAATTAATGTCGAGATAGTTTATGGAGTCATGTCGGACCGTTGTAGAAACTACACTGTATGATTGTGTATATAGGCTGCCCAAAAGATATACATGTATATATATATATCGAGCCCTCAAACGTTGCGCCCTTAAAAGGCGCACCCACTTCATCAAAAGTTGTGCCCGACAGAAATCGTCGAGCGGCGAGCCATCAAAAGTCGCACTGGACACGCGGCGATGCATGTGATCGATAGAGCGTTGTGTCGTCCTCTTCGTCGTTGTCTATATAAACCGAGGCGAAGGCTGTGCAAGCCAAACTAGTTTGAAACCTCTGAACATCTTCGTTTTGAAACACTCTGCAACCAAACCTTTCTAACATTACCAGTCTGAAATCGTTGCTTCTCTGAAACACTCAGCAACCCAAAAAATGGCCTCTTCTTCCCGTTCAGCAACCCAGAACATGGCCTCTTCTTCCCGTGGTCTGCTCACTTTCTTTCCAGACCTCAACGAGTCCACAAGAGAGATAACCGGTGCAGTTGCCCTTGAACTTCAACCAAGCACCCCTGGTTTTGCTCCGTTGAACTTTCCTATGCGGTCTGTGGAGCAAATAATGGCAGCGCAACCGGATATTGAGGCCAATCAGTATACATTGAAGTCATGCGTGGAGACCATGACTGCGGTCACAAACTTGTCGCACCGGCTTTAGAGTAGGACAAATGAGGTGCAACAGTTAAACGCCCAACTGGCTCTGCTCCAGCGCATGTATAAGGATGCGCGAGCAGAGATATGTGTGCTAAAGGCAGAAAACAAGGAGCTGAAACGGAAGGCCACCGTTATGTTCCAATTCGGAGGTCCACCATATGCTGTGGTGGAGGAGCAGGGGGGAGTGAACGTGCTCGGTGGATTAGGAAGTATTGAGACCGGGCTGTCACGGGACACCCAAGATAAAAGTAAGAATAAGAGAACAGTGGAAGAGGCGAAAAAGTAAGGCTGATTTTTTGTGGTGGTTGTGGGTTGTGGTTGGAGATTGTTTTGGTTTGTATTTTTTTTTATATATATATATATTGTTTATTTTATTTTATTGTATTTTTTTTATTTGTTTTTTTTTTTTTATGTGTGTGTGGGTGTGTGATGTATTGGTAATGCTCTGGTATTGCAATGGAAATGTAGGATTTGAATTTGGTGGTTTGTGAATAATAGTCTATGATGGTATGCTGGCACTTTGAGTATTGGATACTGTTGTGCTTGTGATAAAAGAAAATAAAATAGGATAAAATACAAGAGGAAGAAACGGTGGGTATGGTGGTATGGGGGAGAGACACACACTGGACACACACAGAATACACAGGACACAAGAAAGATAAGATAAAATAAAGAAAGGTATTCTATTTTGTGGTGAGGGAGTCGGTGAGTGGGGTGCAAAAGGTGAAGGAGAAATGTTGGGTTGAAAATGTTTTGGGTCAAAAGTGGTGGTGAAAGGCACAGGAAAATTGATTAAAAATAAATAAAAAATAAATAAAGAAGTGGGGATGGGTTCAAAAGTGGACACTGTCAGTGGGAAACATGAGTGTATTGATTATTTGATATAATAATAATAATAATAAAAATAAAAAGTTAGACCACTTTGAGAGAATGAGTGGAGTGTGGTAAGGGTTTCATGACCACTGTGCACTCCATCACAGCCACACAAAAAACTGTTGATGGACCATCAAGCAAGGACTGGAGAGGTGGAAGAGCTGCTTCATTCAATATCATTCCTAGCAGCACTGGAGCTGCCAAGGCTGTTGGTAAGGTGCTGTCTGCACTTAATGGGAAAAATTGACTGGAATGGCTTTCCGTGACCTCACTGTGAGGCTGGAAAAGAGGGCTACTTACGATGAAATCAAAGCTGCTATCAAGGCAGCGTCTGAGGGAAACATGAGGGTCACAACTTACAAGGATGTGTCCTTGAGTAGAGAGAGAGAGATCAGGTCTTGGCGGATAGTGCCTGATGCGGGATCAGTTGCTGGATCAAAAGAGCTCTCCAATAATGATGGTATTTGTCTCACAACCAGGTGCAAAGTGTGACCGTCTTCCACATGCTCGCGTGGGGGAGAGTTAAACCTTGACATGTCTGAGGTGCAAGGGCCAACGGGCTAGTCCGCTGGTTCAGATAAAGAGAGAGAGAGATTGTGGTTGTCTAGTTGGAGTCAAGCTCATGCATGGATCATAAACTGCCATGTGTGGTAGAGATCCGAAGTGGCATGTTGCAACGGGTTCGCTGATGGATAAGCTGGTGACGAGCATGATGAGAAGATGCGGATTGATCGTGGAAAAAATTGATGAAGCATAAGCATGGTTGGGTTTTCAATACACCTGTTGATGTGGTTGGTTTCTACCACCAAATCATCAAGCAACCGATGGATCTGGGGACTGTGAAGTCAAGGCTCAGTAAGAAAGAGTTTGGATGGCCGCTGGATTTTGCTTCGGACGTGAGATTGACATTCAACAATGCCAAGACGTACAATCCAAAAGGTCAGAAGGTAAGGAGAAGCTTGCTCCAACCAGCTGCAATGTTGAAGAAATCTGATTCGATGCGTGTACTAGGGGGTTGAACTTGCAGAACCTGCCGTTGAAGATGATGGACCAGAAGATAATGGAGTTGATGGAGGTTTCAATAAGCATGGTTGGGGTCCGGCGGGCGGTGAAGGCAAGGTTGCCGCCCGCCGGAAGGTGAAGATCACCAAGAGCTAACCTATAGCTCTGATACCATGTTCAATTTAATGTATAAAGAGAGAATAAATTGTATGTATTCAATTGATTTTAAGTGTGTCCTTACAATGTGAAGATGACTCTCCTTTTATAGAGGGAAGAGTGTACAAAGGTGCCAAGAGAGCCGAAAGAAGAAAGCAGAAAGTGTGCACTAAGGAAGCACTAAGAAAACAACATGATTAAAGCTTGGTAATTTACAGCTAACATATTATGCACTAACATGCATATAATATACTAACAATATCTATATATTCATTCAGATATTCTAGATTCCAAGGTGTGGGAAATCTCACCTTGCATTTTCCTGAAAATTTTGGTGGTGATGCAACTCAGATACACTACATTGGCTTAAAGGGTGAAGCTACACAGGTAATTCACTGAAAATTTTACAATTCCTTGGATTTGTGGCTGATTTACATGATATATTTTCTACCCCATGAATTAACAGTTGAAGAGGGATGTTGTTGCAACAATTGTTTATGAGCTCATGCCCAATCCTTCTGACCACAAGTAAGTATTCTTTCCCTTGGCTAAAGGTTTTGAATACTTGATTGTCCATTTGATGCATAATATTCATCAGAATTTTGCGTGGACAACAAAAATTGCAACCAAACAATAGAATGTGAGTCCCATGGCTGAATAATGCCAATCCTATGTTATAATCTGCCTAATTAAACAAGGTCCTTAATGTCTAGATAGTTTTGTTGATGCCATGTGAAATTCTGAAATATATTTCTCAATGCGTATATGATGAAATTACGAGGTGAATGCATTATGCTCGTAGTTAGCTCTTTCTATCCATTAAAATCAATGGTGGGCTTGTATGCAGGACGAAGGCTGAAGGTGGAGGCGGCCTTTCACATGTGGAATGAAGATTAAAAATAAAAGCAGCGGGCTCTTCATATAAAGTAGCGTATCCCTTGTGTACATTTGGCCACTGGATATTAACATAATCCTTTTTCATCCTCATTCTGGAACTGTCTGTTTCTCTTTGCACCTGAACGATTAGTACCCCTTTTTTCCTTTTGGGCAAAGGGCCTACTCTTAAATGAATTACATGATGTTACTCAAGATGATATCCAACTGCTCTTGAAAAATTTTCGGTTAATGGGATATTACAGTTTGTTAGATTTAATACTCTGAACAAGGTTAATGTAACATTTTTAACTTGTGCATGGTTTGTTTCATTGTTTTTGTTTTTGCATGTGTGAACTGAGAGTGGACAGGTAAGAATATGTGTTTTGCTCTAGCAAGTACCGGGCATTACATATGTGCTAAATTCTCTTCTTCAACTTCGAATTTGCAGTTCAGGCAATATTTTTGTCCCAAATTTATTGTCATTTTTACAATTGGTAGGAAGGGATAGAGAAGGGAAACTGCACTTTAGATTCGAAAACAGTTGTCTCGTCGGCTTGGGTTATTTAGGCCAATTCTCTCTGGGCACAAACCAGTCCACTTCTATAATTTCATTTAATGATGTTAGGATCACAATTCACGCAAATAGCATCTTCAATCCTAGCCTGTATTTGGTTTATAAATTTAGTGAACAAAAAAAAAAAAAAGATAATTATTTTATTTATTTATTTTATGGAGAATCATTTTCTTCAATTTGGTGAGGTATTTGAGAGTAAAGAGAACATGGGAAGGAATGTATACTAAATTTTCTTAATGTTGCATGACATTTCCTACCTTTCTCCAGTTTCCAACCATTTTTGACAAAACTCTAGCCCTTTATTTTATTTAAACAATAAAGAATAGACTTTGAAGCGGTATTTATAATAATGTCACCACGTACAAATAAAAGATGCATATGAATTTTAAAATGTACTTAAAAATTTAACTTGTAATGAATTAAATTGAGTTGAATAAGTATGTTCCTTAAGCTCAATTTAAAAAGCTTAACAAGTTTTAAAGTTATTTGACTTAATTATTTTTTGAGTCAATTTTGAAGGAAATATAATAGCTTAGTTCTTCGTGATACAAAATTTATCAAAACTAGTGGAGTTCAAATTGTTTCGAAGATTTTTAAAATTTTAAAATATATTTAAATTTAATTTATTTAGAAAATGATTTTGAATGAATTTTTAACAAATGACAGTCAAATAATTTTTGAATAATTAAATTTAACAATCTATAACAATGCTTATAGATGTATTTGAAATCTATTGATCCACTAATTTTAGTCATCGCATTTAAAAATTTTTAAAAAATATTTAGAATTTATATACAAGAATTGATTTGCTTAATGTGGCTCGTCTTTTCTGGCCGATTGTGCCCTCCACTTCCCTCTTGTTTATCGTATTGAACAATTGTCTCATGTGATAACTACTATTACTTATTTTGTCTATATTACACAATTGTCCTCAATACTACAATTATTAGTTTGTACAAAAGAGTTAATTTCACTAATGCCATAACTTTTATGGTATTTACTTAAGGATTGGGCTTAGGGATCTGTAGGGCCTAACATGGATCTCGTTTTTATGATTTAAATCATTTATTTTGTAACATATTTTATGTACATCATCTATAAAAATAAGCTGATTTAATAATTATAATATTTTTATTTTATTATATTTTACATCAAAAAATAGATGGTTTTTTTTTTATAAAAAAAATGTACTTCTCATTCATTTTTTTGAAAACACATGCAATAAAATAAAAACATTACGATTATCCAATCAACCTGATTTTTTTGAAGATAATATACACAAAGAGCCATACAAAATGAAAAATTCATATCATCGAAATAGGGTCCATGGTAGGCCCCATGAGTCCCTAAAGTTCTCTCAAGTTGAGATTTTTTTTTTTTTTATTGAGATATAAGTATGAAAGTAGTTAAATCATTTACTTAATCTTTTATTTTCTCTATTTAATCCTTTATATTTGAATATTAAAATCATACATAAATTTTATACTGTGATAAATAAACATTAGACTAAATTTTTTTTTATCTTAATCTTAACTTAATGTCTTTACTTAAATTGTCAATTTTGAGGTGACACTTTTAAGAGTAAAAGGTAGTATGTAGTTGTGGTCCTTTTGAACCTATAAAATTGAGTTGCTAATTGGTATATCTTAATACCAAATTTGGCATAATAAAAAGAAGATGCCAATTTTTTTTTTCATTATTTTAATGTAGGGACTTATAAAAGAGTTTAAAAAAATTTAAAGCAAAAAAAAATCTCCATTTTACTTATTGACATATGAAGGCTTATTTGTTTAAATTGTAAGAGATTCTTCTAATGGTATACATGTTAGAATATATGTAATGATGTTCCAAATCCTTAACCCAAAGTCAATTTTAATTATACATCATAAAATGTAAAATAAAATAATAAAAAAGAACTCCAATTATGTGCTAAATCTTCAAAATAAATTCGCTGAAGTTAAATTTGATGTCCAATTTGTCACTTCAGTAGTGACAATCATGATCACTAATTTTTTGTTTTTTGAAAATAGATCAAGTGTGTCAAAATAACACAGGACTATTGGTGTGATTTTGTTTTTTCTTTTCTTTTTTTCCTTTTTTCTTTCTTTCTGGGGCACTATAGCAAACCAAAAAATAATTTTGGCAAAGTTATTTTGACTTTCAACACCATTGCACCACTCCCAAACAACCCAACTAGCACAACCACCACTACCTCGACTACCATTAATATAACTATTAATGCATTGGTTTTAAGGCTGCAATTAAGCATAGAAAAATATTTTGTGTGGAAAATATTTTATGCATCTGTCAAAACAAATAGAGGTCAATCTATTTTTTTCTCATTTAAGTCTAATGAAAAATAATCTTATTTTTGGATAATAATCTTGAATAACATGGATAAATTAGAATGAAGGTGAAATGCAATGCAATTTTTCTTTTTTTTAACCTCTACAAAATAATCATGGGTGTCGGGTGATAAATTCAATTTTGGATTTTCTTTGCCCAGAAGCCCAGGCATTGAAACATATTAGGTCCATAAGGACAACTTCATGCAAAATGACCACATTATTCATCTTTATATGTATATATATATAGTATACATGGTGGAATACAAAACCAAACCCAACCCTCCTCTTTCTCTCACTTGTCTCTCTTCGTCTCCTTCTCTCTCTCTTCTTCTCTCTTCGATGATCCGCCATCTCTAAAGATCTAAGATCTGAAACACATATGAGGTAATCCTTTGTGTCGTCGATCCTCCATCTCCGACGATCTCTGTCATCTTTTCTCCAACAATCTGCCATCTCTGACGATCTAAGATTTGAAACATATCTAAGTTGATCCTCTGTGCCGTCAATCTGCCATCATCTGTCACGACCTAAACTTGGTACCTGGAGGTTCGGCATCGCAACAAGACAATAACTGAAGTCATAACAACTTAATAGTGCAACAGAGTAAAATAAAAGATACCCAAAACTTTATTTAATTATAAAAATATACATTGGAGCTTCTATTCATTTACATTGTCAGAGCTGAACTATGACTATAAAGTGTCTTGTGCCTACCCCACACACTGGTCCTGACACGTCACCTAAAAGTGGTTAATAACTATAAGTATATGGTAGAGCGAGAAATATTATGCTGAAAGTATTAGGATATAAAAATCACCATTGATAATTACTTGGGTTAAACAGAGATTTGTTTGATAGAAATCATTTTGAATAACAAATATATAATATTGAAATCATATAAACAAAATAATTATAACCACGGTACAGAACAAAACAAAACAGATGTATATATGGACTTAAGAGGTGGCTCGTTTGAATTCTAGAGGTGACTCCTACAATAGTGTAACACTTAACACTTGCTCCATACCAGAGAATAGAATAGAACAGAACAGATGTATATATTCAAGAGGTGACTCATATGAATTCTAGAGGTGGCTCCTACAATAGTGTAGCATTTAGCTCCGCGCAGCACTTTGCTCCACACCAGAAATCAGAAGGTCAGTGGATCCATGACAATAGAGGGTTACTTAAAGTAACAATAGAACAGAGTAGAGATTCATATAAAGTGACAATACAGAGGGCCAATGGATATTAAAGTCCCCCAAGGCATGGGACCCTATGGTGGTACTTAGTACTTACAAAATAATTGTTCAAAAACACATTTAATAATTAATTTTATCCATGGATTTTTCTTTGTAAGCAAATAGGGTTCAGTTAACAAATAATATATTTTAAAAACTAACATAATTTGTAAAATAGATCTTTCATAAAATAGTTTATGGTAGCTTAAAATATAATAAAACTCACCTTAAATTAATATAAGTTGCAAAACAGATTTTACATAAAACAGTTTATGGTAGCTCAAATTATAATAAAACTCACCTCAAATCTGATTATTTACTCTCACTTCTAGACTTCGACTCACTCTCTTAGATACCCCTTATTTATTATTCTTGTGATTTTATTATCATGCCACTCATCTATTTGTAGGTGAGAAAATCCTTATGCAGCACTGTCCACATGGCTCACGGTTCTCATGAGGTTTCTTGAAGCACTATACACAAGTTTCTTATATTTTACTATGGCCCAAAAATGTTATAATTATATTCACTGTGTTTGGTTTGAGTTTTTTGGATTAAGTTTTTTGAAAATTAATTTTTTTGGTTTTTATGTTTTTTTGTTTTTAGTAAATATTTTTTAAATTTTAAACATTTTTTTTACTTTTTTAGATGCACCTTACTTAGATGCATCTAAAAAGTAAAAAATTTGTGAAAAAATATTTTAAAAAATTAATAAATACATAAAAATACAAAAAATGTACTGAATTCTTGTATTTTTTTTGTATTTTTGGTATTTAGTGAATTTTTAAAAGATTTTTTTTACAATTTTTTTACTTTTTAGGTGTATTTATGTTAAGTGTGTCTAAAAAGTAAAAAATTGCTTAAAATATTAAAAAAATTCGGTAAAAACAAAAAAACACGAAAAATAAGAAAGTAAAATTTTTTGAAAAGTGTTTTGGAAAACTGAAAACCAAGCAAGGTGATTATTTTTTTTCAAAGATTAAGTATATATATTTTAGACTGTCACATTACCGACAATCCACCATCTCAGATCTCAGAAACATAGACAATCCGCCACCTCTCTCACATGCGGAGGGCCTGTAAAAGAGGTCTTGAGTTTAAGAGGTATCACGATGAAGCCAAGGTACATCATCAGATTCACCCTCCTTTCTCCTCTATATATGTAT